CCCTCAGTGATGGTGTCCTAGGCCTTGAACCAGGAAAGAAGCAGAGGGCGGGAAAGTGCTCCCCGTGTGGCTGACAGGAATTAAGTAGACACGCCGGAGCTGGGGGAAGAGCAGGGAGAGAGAGAGACACAGAGGAAACACCTCCAGAATCTCGGCTCAGGCAAGCCGTGGAAGGCACTGGGTGGAAAAGGCTGCCGGGGAAATGGACGGAGGACTTTGCTCTGCGGCTAACAGGGACGAGGACAGCACTTTGCACACAAGCTTGTCGTGGTGAGGCGCTGTGAACATGACTTCATTCATCCTTAACACACTGTAAGTGAGAATGAAGCTCACACTCATCCTGTGTCAGAGCTCAGACGGGGCACTACGGCTCCTGTTACAAAGCTGTTGTCCAGTGCCCTCTGCCCTTTAGGCAATGTGCACAAAGAATGCGTTTTCTCCTCTTGCTCAGCGACAGCTGTGCCCGTGCACCCACCTTCCACAGAACCTGGCAGTGCATCCTGGCTCATGCTGCCCCATTCAATAAGCAACACAACAGGAGTTTTGTTCTCGGCTGCTCCTTCCGGCTGCTTTTATTTCTGAAATTCGTAATTACATATTTCATGGCTAAGAACAAGATGAAAAATGTGCTTCTTTAAATAAAACCTTATGTTCTGATAGAGATAGAAAGGACCGAGTGGCTTGAGGAGTTATGAAAATATCTTTGACCTTGGATGTTTAAAATTGTCAAAGTGTCACACATCTACACGGACACAGGTAGTCAAGGTGGCTCATTAAATTAAGAGAAACATCAGTGTTGGAAAGGCCACAGGGCTGGGGGATGATGCAGCCCGCAGGCTGCTTTCTGCACATGCGTGAGGACCTGAGTCTGGTCCCCACTTCCACACTTTGTAAAGCTGGGCACAGCAGCTGTAACCCACGGCAGGGAGGGTGGACAGAGCTGCTTGAGGCTTGCCGGCTAGCCGGACACCCTAACCAGTGAGTGCCAGGCTCAGTGAAAAAGAAAAGAAAAGAATAAGGTAGGGGTGGCTGAGGAAGATGCTCAATCTCAGCCTGTCCTCCAGGTGTGCTCACAGCTGCGTGCACGCGCGCACACACACGCGCACACACACACACACACACACGCACACACACGCACGCACACACACGCACACACACGCACGCACACACGCGCACACACACGTGCAAGTGAACATTACCTTTCACAATGAAATCAAAGCATTCACTGTGGAACTAAAGTTCCCCGACAATCACGCAACACACAAATCAAGAGAAAGACACAAAGCAGGCAGTGACGCACGACAACGGCCATTAGTGTTACACAACACTGATTTCCGGTTAAGACTTTTGGCGAGTGTCTCAACCACGGGCGCACACACGTCAGAGCTCGGGTAGGTCGTTTTCCTACTAAGCAGGGCGACTTGTGCCAATGCGACTGTGCTTCGAAGGCAAAGAAGACAGAGGAGTAATAAATGATGTGGAGAGCTTCCGGGGGTCAGATCAAGAGCAGAGCAGACAGCTCCGGGGCGAGCAGAGCACACACAGGGCACCTGGGAACCGGGTGTGCGGGCTTCGCTGCAGAGGAAGGCAGGAGGGCACAGTGGCGTCCACACACAGAAAAGCCGGGGAAGGCCTGGCTACCCGCCTCCGGTTTCCAACAGCCTCGGGACGAGAAGATGCAGTGTTAATGCTGCCTGCTCCACTGTTCGCCACAGGAAAACAGACGCGGCAATCAGCTTCAAGGGGGCTGGGAGGCAGCTGCGGAGGAGCGTGAGGACTGTGGAGGAGGTCATGTCACAGGAGGCCCCTCTCTCGCACGGTTGGCTCGGGTCCCCGCTGGCCTGTGCGGCATCCGAATCCACAGCTCTGCAGACTCTGATTTGAATGGGGACTGTCATGAGCATGTCTAAGTGTCTGTACCCATCCTGGGAGGCTGAGACTCAGGAGGCAGAGTCCGCTGGAAGAAGTGGTTTGCTGGGGGAAGGCCTCATCGCCCTGCCCATCTCTGCTTCCCATCTGTCCTGATGTGAGCAGGTGGCCTCACCCTCTCACCACCACAGCTGGGCAAAAATGGACGGCACGCCCAGACTGTGGGTCTAAAGAAGCATTCCTCCAAGCCAGAGAGCAGCTACAAACACTGGATCCTTCAGACCTTAAAGATGCTTCCTGTCACTGGGGAGTAAGGCAGCTGGGGGGGGGGGGGGGCTGACACTGTAAAGTAACAGTCACTCTATGTCCATTCTGACCGCAAGCACGGGTCTTTAGTCACAGAGACAAAAGGGGCAGTCAGTGGCTTTCTCTCTCTTACCCCTGCTATCTGCACACAGGAGCTCTTCTGTGCTCCTGGGGTTAAGCTGTGCCGCTCTCAGGGTGCTAGGACTCGTGTGCCCAGCGGCCCCTGTGAGGACTACTGCGCTGTGTCAGGAGGCACGTCATGCCCTGGTCTGACCTCACAGCCCAGTGCAGGAAGGCTCCGGGAGGGGAACAGATGCAGGAGACCAAGCTGACCCCAACAGTGGCCTCCCCCCCCCCGGGCTTGGGGTCCTCTCCCCCAGCAGAGAAGCCAGGCTTCCACCTCAGCTGTGTGCTCCCGAGTGTAAAGTGAGGTGACCACAGAAGAGAAGGGCACCTTCCTCTTATGGCACCGAGACACCAAGCACAGCAGAGCGGCAGTCTTTGAGCAGGTTGCACTGCACCACAGAAACAGGGAAGTCTACTTCCAAACTCACCTTGGAAAAAGGTTACATATGAAGTCGTGGTTCCTTAGTGCCGGTGAAGGGCAAGCACTGAAGAGAGCTACGGAGGCCTGTTACCGTGGCCACGAGTAACAGGCAGCAGCAGGTTCACAGAGGCCAGAGGCTGGAAAGCTGCCCTGGCCAAGCCCACTTTGCAGCTGACCGTAAAAGGAACTTTTATTCCCCTGCTTAAGTTTTTGTCTGGGAGGCTTACTCCCTCCATCTGCTGGCCTAGGCCTAGTCCTGGATGCTTCCAGCCTCCATACAATCTAATCTAGACCTAGAATGTTTTCAGCCTCTCAGACTCACTCCTGAGTAAACTCACCCTTTCTTGTTCTTTCTGAACTCTGGGCTGGCTGGTTCAACTCAGCTTTTCTGGCTCTAACTCCTCTCCCAGCTGATCTATACAATCTGGCTTCTCTCTTGGCCTCTGAATTGCGCCACTTGGCCTCAAACTAACTCCAGCAATCTCTTCTAGACTGTTTTCCATATTCTGTAACAGAGGCTTGTATGTCTGCCTGGAGAATACAAGTACAGAGGAAGAGAAAGAAGAGGAGGAAATTGAGAAAGAGAGGGAAGAGGGAGAGAGGAAAAGCAGGAGGAGGGCGAGCAGGAAGAGCGAGAAAGGGGATAGAAGGAGGGAGACACGCATGGGGCTGGGTGAGCTCTGTATCTGGGAATGAACCCAGGGCAGTGACTGCAGGGAAGTCTGCACAAAGCTATGATGGAGCTGCTGCCTGCGTCAGCAGTACACCTCAGGGGAATGAACGCACGCCACTCACTGGTTAGAAAGTCTGCCCAGCAGACCCCGGGGACCCTCCTGTCTCCATTTCCCTGGTGCCAACACAGCAGGTGACTGCCACAGCAGCTCTGCGTCCAAGCTCAGTCTTGCTTTCATGAAGGTGACCGCTGAGGCAGCTCCAGCCCTGTATTTTTGACAGTCCTGAGATTTTTGGTCAGAATTTGAAAACGGTTGTTATTGTTTCTTTGTTTTGGTTTTAGTTTCTGTGCGGAACTCTGGGTATCTGTGCTGTGCCTTGCTGGCTCTGTGGCAGCCGGTTATTTGAAAAGGTATACCAAGAAAACTGACACTCTCTCCACTGCTGACCCAGTGTGCAGGCGAAGAATTCACTCGGGCTCGCCCCAGACAAGCCTCAGCTTCCAAGGGTTTCACACACACATTTAATGGCCCAGCAGTCTCACAAAGCCATGGAAAGGCTTCTGGGCAGCTCTCTCCAGCTTTCTCACTTTCTGTCTCCCCTCAGATCCTTGCTGCTAGCCTGGCCACACCTGCCTGTAATCCCAGGATTCCGGATGGGGAGGCAGGAGGATCAGGAGCTCAAGGTCAGCCTCAGACACAAATGGAGTTCAAGGTCAGCCTGAGCTACGTTTGAGTCCCTGTCTCAAGACACTGAACAAACAACACTTCCAGCTGCCTTGGCTTTTCCTCACAATCGAATCAGCTACTTCTCACCAGGAGGCCTGTGAGCTCTTTTCACTCAGTCTGGGAGAGCGAGGGCAACCGACAAGAGGCGTCCCTCAGTGTAGCGACAATTTCTCTATCAACATTTCCTAGTTTCTTCTACCCTTGATCTTTTTTTTCAAATGAATTAATTTAGTAATTTTGTTAAACTTTATACTTTTTTCTGTCTGGAAAAAACCCATCTAATTTAATATAAGAGTGGATATGAAATCTTAATCATATCTTAAACATTTATAAATGTTATTTATTAAGATTTCATTCATTATGACATTGTATCAAATAAATTCCCTCAAATATTAGCCAACCACATCAGGAGGAAACTTTTATTTCTATAAAGTTATCTAGAATATATATATTCAAATATACATATATATTTAAATAAAACTACGCAGAGCTGAAGAGGTGGCTTGTGGCTAAGACAATTGCTCCTCTGCCAGGAGTAGGGTTTGGTTCCCAGCACCCAGATGGCCAGCCAACAGCCACCTGTAACTCCAGCTCCAGGGCATCTGACACCTTTTTCTGGCCATGACAGGCACCTATACACACACAGGCACACCCACATAGAGACACAAAAATACAAATAAATCTTTTAAATGAGAAATCATAAAATTAAAGTGAACATGGCCTGTAAGCCCCGCTAAAGTCTTCTAAATACATATCACGTATGAGGAAAGCTTGCCAAGTGCTGTGAGTATCGTGGGGCTTTGACCCCATTAAAAGAGAAGCAGTAGTGAGAGACGGTACGTCTTCACTGCGAGAACCCACTTGCTCTCAGAGATTACCTTGAAGGCCGCCACACAGTGCAGGCTCAGCGAGGCCATCGCCACTGCCAGGAGCACGGTAGCCAGGTTCCTCACGTCCCAGACGGTCTCCACCAGAGGAATGCTGCCCACTTGCCAGTCGTAGCACAGGGTGATGGGTGCGAGCAGAAGCCACATGTTGAAGGCCAGGAGGTAGGAATAGGTAAGGAACCTGTGAGGAGAACAGCTGTGAAATACAACTTCCCGCGCTTTACAAATACTTGCTTACCACAGCTGGAGGAAGGGCATGCACTTCTGACCGGGGAGAGGCACCATCCTTACACCGATCACCTGGAACTTATCTCACAGCTTCCAGCCGCTGTGTTGGGTGCTGACCTCAGCAGAAAGCAAGTTAGACACAAGTCCTCCGTCAGATATCTGAACTGATTACACATGCAAAAGCAAAGGGATAAAGGCAGGGAAGGAAATCCTGATGAGGGCACACGGTAATCACGCTCTTGCTTTGTAGAGAGCAGTTGTCTAGACCTTCTCATCTTGCTACTGTCCAGAATCCCATGACACATTTGAAAACAACTCATCATTTTGATAACAGACTGACCCAGACGGAACTATTTCAGTAAAATGTCTGCGGCAAAGAGAGCAGACCTCTTATTCACAGTTGGCAGGGTAGAGGACGGGGGAGGAAGACAGTGGTGGTTCTTAACCCACTTCCTGCCTAGGCTCTAGGGTGAAGAACATGGCATTCTACTCAAGCATTTCTGGGTTAGAGGGAAGTGAGTTCACCTTCATTCAGTTAGCCTGCATGGCCAGTAGGCTGTATTCAAGGTCCTTGAGAACCTCCGGGCTCTCAGCACAGAACAGAGCCACCCAAACCTCAACACTAGGATGTGAGCAACTGCCGTGTCTGAAGATGATCTGTCCACCCCAACCGCCATTAAAATGTTCACCTGAGGAACTGCACGGCTAAGAGAGAATGTGCTCTTGTCTCAGTCAGCATCTAAGAGGCCTCTCTAGGCCTCCATCCTAGACTGGGTGAAAGGGGCTGAGGACTGTAACTGTGTATACATTAAAACTAAGACGAAGAGTAAAGAATCTGGTTTAGCAGGCAGAATCCTTGACATACAAACATCTGGACCCCAGAATTCATTTTAGAAAGCCAGGCATTCTGATGTCCCCAGTGATATCGGCTGGTGATGAGGAAACAGGACAATCCCTAGAGCAACACGGCAGCCAGCAAAGCCTGCTCAGCGAGAGACTCCATCTCAACAGAGGCAGCCAGCAAAGCCTGCTCAGCGAGCCTGAGGCCAATGAGAGACTCCATCTCAATAGAGGCAGCCAGTTTCTGAGGTAGACACTGGCCTCTGGCCTCCAAGCACACGCACATTCCTCCACTCACAAGCACTCATACGCACATGGGCACTGCCTATGTTAAACAGACAGACCCAGAATTACCGTTCTTCAGGTTAAGAGGCACACTTTAAACTCCAACCAACGAGGAAGGCTAAAACACCCGTCTCCACTGCTGTGGGAGCAAGCTCCTAATCAGTATCTGCCAGTAGGCAGATAAGGGCAGCATCTTCATACAAACCAAACGGACTCCGATCTTTCCCCTATTGTCAAGTTACTGGTAAAAACCTGTTTTCACCACTGTAAGTGATGGACAACGTAGTCCCATATGCTATTAAATAAAAACAAACAGGGAATATCCTGTCTCCAGACACTATATACTACAATAATGGCAATTATATACCGGGAAGGAACAAGGAAAATGAGCTGGATGTCATACGAGGACAGGGCCTGAGAAGCCCTTCCCAGAGGAGGATCTTGGCTTGGCACAGAGGTCGGAGCAGAATTTCTGTTGTCTTCTGTGACAGACATCTAACATAGTGTCACCTCGACAGGAGTTAGAATCACCAGGAGTCGCGCTTGTGCATGCGTCTGTGAGGGCATCTCCAAGGGGATTGAAATGAGGCGGGAGGACCCGTCTTGAATTTGGAGAGCAGCACTCTTGGGCCAGGTGCCAGACTAAATATAAAGGAGAAAGTAAACTGAGCACCGGCCCGAGTCTCTGTACTTCCTGCTTGTGGCCACAGTATTCCCAGCTGCCTGAAAGCCCCGCCCAGCCGTCCCCACCATACTAAAACAATAACTCAAAGGGTGGACCAAACAAGCCCATCCGTAAGTTTTTCTTGTTAAATACTTTCCTCACAGCAACAGGAAAAGCCGCTATCACAAGTCCTGTGGCCGAGTGTTACTTTACCCTGAAACCATCAACAAGAGCTCAGACAATCCAAGCCAACCTCTTCCATCGCCTCTTCTCCCTCCAAACTTTGCAGTGAGAATCCTCCCATGTCAGTGAGGGAGACTTCCCTCTGCTGACTCTCAGGCCACAACACAGAGATACTCAGGAGCCGACTGCGTCGACAGTTCTGTCTGCCCCTGTCTTCTCTCGTGGCTCTCACCAAAATGCTAACAGCAAACAGCAAATAGGGACCGACTCCTTCTTAGTCTTGCTTGGGCTTGCACTGTCACCCGAGAATGCCATCCCACTGAAAGCCAGCAGCACCACTATGGGCTGCTTTCCATGCATGGAATGCGAAGGCCCTCCCTTCAGCTCAGTGGAAAGTCTCTGCACGGCCTGACGGGCGGATGCTGAGCTACCTGCTTCACAGACGAGGCAGCTGTCACTCACACCCATCTCTTAAAATTACTTACAATCTTTTCTGCTTGAAATAAATTGATGCAGGGTAGCCATCAGTGAGTGCTAATGAGTACGGTTAGAGGCAGAGAATGCAGCTCACTGTATGATGGACAGATCAGGCAGGTGCCTACGACCCCAGTACTCAAAAGGCTGAGGCAGGAAGACAGCCATGAGTCAGAGGCCAGGCTAGGGCACCTGCTGAGTGAGACCTGTCTCAGACGGGCACCTAGAACCCACTAATTCATTTTAATGTCACCAAGAGAGACAGAGAGTTTAATACACCCCTAATAGAAATATAGCCAAGAAGAAATAATACTGTCAAAACTACAACAGAGGCAAAACCTTGAATGTAAACCAGTTCTAAGACAAACTGCTGCTACAGAATCCACACCAGAACCAACAGAATATGTTACATGACGTATCAGGGACCCATTGTCCAGGATGTGGGGGAAACCACAGAACCAATGAGTAGTTTCCTAAACAAGCACATGTACCAGAGGACCTGTATTAAGTTGAAATGGCCTAAGAGCCATCACGCGGCACTCTGTTTAGACGCTGTGGTGGTTAGTGCCGATTGTCAATCTGACAGGATCAAAATCACCTCAGAGACAGGCTCCAGGCACATCTGTGAGGAGTTGTTTAATTTAGGTTAGCCCTTTGGTGCACCTCAGGAGATTATCCTGATGAGGTGAACTGAAGCAGAGGACCCAACCTAACAGTGGGTCTCAGCATTCCCCAGCCTCAGTCTTGGGCTAAACACAAAGGGGGATTGAAGCTGAGCAGTAACGTTCAGCCATTTGCTTCCTGGGCCCAGTCTGATCAGCTGCCCCAGGCTCCTGCCACCATTACTCCCTCACCACAGTGGAAGTGCCCAGGAACTCTGAGCTAAATTAAACTCTCCCTCAAGTTGCTTTTGTCAGGGAATTTTATCACAACCCTAGTAACTAAGGAAAAGGTTAATTCAAGGGAGTCATGGGAGCCATCATTCAGCTTACATACTAAACTGGAAAAACTATAATATTAATGGGAAATAAAGCTGGATGCAGAGACTTATCAAGTTTTAAAGATGTAAAAACGCCACATGAAAGAAATGGCTGTGATGGACACAGGGGCAAAAGCAGACCACAGGCAGTGGCTCTTTACATAAAAGCGTGGCTGGAGTCAGGCTCCTCTTCACCTGGACCGTCAGCCACTCTCCCTGATGAACTTGGAGTTATCAAAATCGAGACTTAGAATTGCTTCAAAGTCTGAGCGGGCGCAGAGGGCATGAGAGGAGGAGTATGACTAAAGCAGATGGCCGAGGACCGTGGGGCGGAAACGGCACACAGAGGCCGCCTTCTCTCCTCTTGTGTATCTGATATCTTCCATGATGGAACCTGAGGCGGGAGGTGACAGACTGCACTGCCATCTCAGTCCTGGCTTCTTCTGGCCCACGGAAGACCGGCCTACTCTGGGTAGGGTTTCTTATTTGAAGTTCTTATGTTCACTTTGCCCTCAGGTTTCCTTCTCCTGCTTGTTCTCTGGAATTGGGATGTTGTACCAACTAAAAGAGAACTAAGATTCATTTTTAAGTTATAATCTTATTGAGAACAGAGAAAATCACAGAGCAGCAGCGGTCACTGCTTTCTAGTTTGTATGGATTCTGATCATCTAGCTAGCAAACTCTTTAAGTACTTTCTAAGACACAGACATAGCAGTGAAAAAAATGCTTTGCAAATATAAGCAACAAAGGAGCCATTTGGAATCACTCCAAAAGCTAATTATCTTTTAGGGAGGGCTATTTGAGCCAACTGTAATCAACAATTACAGGGTTTCTTTTTAACTCCTTTTCCATGAATTACATTCAAATTGCTAAAAATTCAGAAATGAAATAGCCTGAGCAATATTTCTGCCCTGCTGGGTTTCTCCCTCTCTCTCTTTAAATCAAGAGCAAAAACAAAATTATTTACTTACCCACTTTCTATTATAAATCCCATTAAAAGGAGGGAAACCACTAAAATGTTTGCTAACAGAACGGAACGTGCAACACAGGGAAGTGAAGTTCCGTGTAAATAATGCAGTGATTCGTTTTTACTGGGAACCCAGGAAAGACTGAAGGACTGTTCCACAGCTGGAAGCGGTGGCTCATGCTTAGAATCCCAGAACTTGGGAGGCTGAGGCAGGAGGACCACTGCGAGTTTAAGGCCAGCCCGGGCTACTGTCATGATTACACCGTGGTGACTTCTGTTCAGTTAAACAGGACACATACCATCCGCAGAGTCACAAGGACTGTCGAGGTCAGCAGGCAGTAGGTGACTCCAGCCATCCTAACTGGAGAAAGACCGAGCAGCCTCCTCTGATGAGGAAGCAACCTTTGTGTGCTCTGACATGGAAGGAAAGCTAACTGTGAAAGTCCTACTAAGCTTACATATCTGGTACAGGAAGTGGCATGGGACCGAATCAGGCCAGAAAAGTGGCATCTACAGAAGCCCTGACCTCCAGTGCAACTCCTGGAGATTCTGTTACCAGGAGGTCATGAGGGCGCTGTCGTGGTTTGAACTTGAAGTGCCACCCACAGGCTCACTGGTTCCCAGTCACCAGTGCTGCTCTGGGAAGTTGTGGAAGCGTTCGCAGTGGGTTACTAGAGGTGAGCCTTTGTGACCTACAGCTTGGCCTGGTTTCTGGCCTCTCCCTCAGCTCCCTGGAACAGCCGGCCACCACTTGCTCCCAGAGCCATGGATTAAGTTACCCCACAAAGCTTTCCTTGGAAAGCTTGGGGCAAAATAAGCCTTTCTGCCCTTCAGCTGTTTCTGAAAGGGTTTTGCTCCAGTGTCAAGAAAAATAACTAACACAGAGAAAGTCTCATACATCGGGACTGCTTCCTTACAAAATCGACGTCAGGGCTGGGAGAGCCGAAACACTGCTGTCCATGCAAGCAGGAAGCCCGGAGTCATCACCCAGCACCCAGGTGAAGCTGCGCCCGGCACTCGACGCTCTATGATCCCACCACCGAGGGCAGAGTCCGGCAGTCCTGGGGTTGCCTGCCAGTCAGCTCAGCCCAGTCTACCTGTCCAGTTCATGGCTGTGAGAAGTTCTACCTCAAAAACAAGGTAACCAGCACCTGAGGAAAGACGCCTGAAGGTACCCTCCATATGCATACACATACCCGCCTGCCTGCACCACACACACACACACACACACACACACACACACGCACACACACGGGAAAACACCAGAACCTGGAGAGAGCAACTCAGGAACAGACATCTCACGCTTACCAACTCTGATGCCATCTTACTGTGGGACTTCCAACCTGAAGAATTAGGAGGGACTTCGGTCTGTGGCTCACGGCACACAGTTTGAAGAATACTGTCCTGTTGTCCTAACAGATAAATGCAGGACTGTGCAGCTAAGGCTGACTGGCAAACCCAAGTGACCAATTTGGAAGCCGTAGGACAGACCCCATGGAGGCCGTGCAGACAGCCAAGTCGGGTGATCATGAGCTGGCTCGGCAGAAGAGGAACACACAGGAAAGCTCCGCTAGAGAGGCAGCAGCGTGCCGGGGCAAAGTGTGTACTCCAGGCGGCGTGCTGGAGGCAGGCACAGCTCTTCTAGTGCAGCCACCCCAGAGGAATGCAGATGGCCCAGGGTTCTCCACTGTCGCTGCAGCCTTCCCCCTCATCAGCTGCTTCTGTCAGGGTGTTTGGTCTCAGTGTCAAGAAAAGTAGCTTGTATGGGAGATCTTGAAGTCTGCAACTCAAGAACATAGATGCAGAGGAATAATGGCAGGCGTGGTGGTGCATGTCTGGGATCCCAGTGCAAGGGGGACCAAGGCAGGTGGATTGCTGTGGGTTTGAGTCTAGCCTGGGCTAGTCAGCCCCTGTTTCAAAACTCTGACAGGAGGGAGAAGATGTGAAGATGGGTTACTAGACATTCCACTCTCTCACGCTGTTACAGACTGAATTACCAGAGCTGGATGGTAAATGCTGCTGGCAATGTTTCAGACCTCGCTGAAGAACTGGTACCTCAGGAGTAAGGAGCAAGACCTGAGAATATCTGGCCAAAGTCCTAATTTTGCCATGGATTCTACAAGAGATTGTTGCCATTAGGCCACCAACCAGAAGATTTTGGTGGTGGGATGGTACAGCTAAGACGTCCATGATTAGAGATCCAATGCAGTATCCTGACACTAGGAGCCTGGGTCAGGCACTGGGGTTTGCTGGTGGCATGGGACACGAATGAAATGCTCAGTTGCCACCTGAGTATTTGCTTCCTCTCTCCACCCTGGCTGAGGCTCTGGGTTATGGCGGGAGCTACGTGTGACTGTGGAGCCGACAGGGTCGCCTTGTTCATACACAGGAAGCCCGGCAGATAATAACTACAAAGACAAGCAACGCTGCCCTAAAGCTGAAGGGAAACCACCACAACATTAGAGGACATCACCCCAAAGCTGAGGGGGGTAGTGGTTTGAGAACGGCCCACAGACTCACAGATCGGAACACTTGCTCAGAAAGAAGGGGCTCTGCTAGGAGGTGTGCCCTGTTGAAGTGGGTGTGGCCTGTTGGAGGAAGTGTGTCACTAGGAGTAGGCTTTGAGGTTTCAGAAACTCAAGCCACACCCATGGCTCATTCTCTCTTCTTGCTGTCTGCCCACCTGGCTGCAGAACTCTACTCCCTCTCCAGTACTGAGTCTACCTCACGCTGCCATGCTCCGCACCATGATGGCAGTGGACAAAATGTCTGGACTGCAAGCCAGCCCCAACCAAACGCTTTCTGTTGTGAGAGCTGCTGTGGTCACAGCGTCTCTTCACAGCGGCAGTGCCCCTAAGACAGATGGTCCACCAGGCAGAAAGAGTAGCCACCCAAGAAGCCACAGACCAGAACCATTCCTCCATGAATTGTCACACCTAAAAATACCCAGACAAAGAGCCTGCAGACTGAATGTTGGAGACAGGTCTAAACAGGACAGGCAGCATTACCAGAGAGTTAAATTTGAGATGGCAAGCTGAAGACTGAACGACTGTTTGAAAATGTTTGATACTAACGACATCACAAGGCTTTTATGCTACTTAAGGGTAAGCCAGTGTAAGAGATCTGGGAAACGGTATTCAAGGTCATGAGCACAGACAGGTGTCAAGGGAGTGACAGCGATTTTGACTGGGTACTTACTACAAAAACATGTCAGTCAGATGGAAGACACCCTTGAGTGCTAACCAAGAGGTCTGCATGAGGAAGGAGGCACAGGCCGTGCAGTCCTGCACTAACCCGGCCCTCAGCGCCAAGGGTAAAGAGACAGACAAAGACCCACAACGAAAGGAGAAAGCCCTCACACACCACAAGACAACTCATACAGGCAAAAACAAGTAATGAGGTATACTGATTAAAACACACACACTACCCTGCCAGGGCAAAGATTGCTGCCTAATGTAAACTAAGGTCAAAATTCTGTCATCTCTAAGCCTACAAACAAGCCCAAATAACTCAGCCACTCATCAGGTTTAGTTTTAAGACTTATCATAAGTTGAGGGTTTGTCAACCGTGTTGTATAGTGAGCCCCTGTCCAAAAACAAAAGATTCCCCATGTTTTATAATGTATTACAAAAACATATACACCAAAATAGTAAAGGCTAGTTCCATCAAATGATCATTAAAGTGATATAACATTATAGGGTATTTATAGCATCCGTGATCATGAGAATAGCTGAACATGACAGGCTACTATTTCAGTCACTCCGGAGACTACAGACTGAAGCTATCTGAATCGTAACTGCGACCGTGTCTTAGAGCATTAGCAGCACAGCACAGCACAGCACGTAAGCGTGGGTAAGTGTGGGCACTTCCCAGTGCTCCGGGCACACTCGTCAACACTACTTCCTAACGCCTCTGTGCTCTGCTCTATGGTGCTTTTTTACAACCACTCAATAGATGTGTGTATTACACACCAGCAGCAGCTAATAAAATATTTGCCAAATAAACAGAAACACCGGTGAAAACCATAGCCACAACCCTGCCCAGATGGTCACATGGTGTTGCGGGATATTTGATCCCACTATAAACCCGAAGATTGTGAACTATAAAATCCTGTTTTCTAGTTGTGGTGCTCAGCCCTGGCACATACCTTTAATCCAGGAGCTTTCTGTTCAAAGATTACATTAAATAAAGTTAAACCTAGGTCAAGAGGCGGAGCAAGGAACCAGCTGACAGGGAGTAAACGGGAAGGAGGGGCATTGGGAGAAGGGTCTTTAAGACAGAGCGGAGCGGGAGAGGAGGCTTTGGGCTTTGGGCTTCAGGCTTCTTCCTTCTGGGACACTGGCTAAGGAGGAAGGTCAGCCGGGTGCTTTCTCTGCCTCTCTGAGCTAGTAGGTTACCTCAGCATCTGGCTCCTGAGGCGTCACAGGTAAGATAGAATGGTTGAGATTTTCATGCATTAAAAAACAACATGGTTGAAAAGAAAACATTAAGTGTTTCCCTTTCTGACCTCATACTGGCTAGGTTATGACTATTATTTCCTCGAAGCGCAAAGCCGAACTGTGGTCTAACCTTACTGAACAGGATTCGGCATGGATGAACTCATTTACAAGGAGACCTGCTATTTTGTACAAATGATTTATGGCAATAAAAATGTCCAACAAAACTACTAAGTCCCAAGTGAATTTACGGAATGTACGCCACTGACCTCGTAAGGAAGTAGGGTGAAAAGGAAGCGGGGTTGTCCTGCTCTGAGAAGAGGGGCATAGTTCCTCCCATTATCCACAGGCGGAAATACAAAATGACAGTCACCTGGAGGAAGGAGGAGACCCGATGAAACGTCCACCCGCACCTCTCCCATCTTTGTACACACACTCTGACCCTCTCTCAAGGATGGAGTCAGTTGTCCCCTCCCCTTACGGGTGACAGACAAGCCTGCCTGTGGTAGCTCTGGCCCCAAAGCACAATACCAGCTAAGCTTCCATACTAGGCGAGCAGTAAGCGGCCGCAGCTATGCCTCTGGGTCCCGGGCCTGGAGACTTTGTGCAGCCGTTCGTGACTGATATAACCAGGTCACTCCAAAAACGCTCTGAGAGGGACTTTAGACTGTGTGTCATTTGCACTGCGCCATCAGATCCCCATGTGTGCTCAAAAGTAACATCTACCTCCGGCAAGCCTTCCTCATGAGACGATGCTGGCAGAAAGTGTATTAAACAGCGCGCCCTTGAGTTTAACTGAAAACACCCCTTATTAGCTAGAGTTGCTGCATATATTATATACTTACATAACTGACGACCAAAATGGCCCGTTTTAAAAACGGTCTCAGGGTGAGCAGGAAATTCCTGTTGCTTCCTGTCAAACACCTGAAACAGGAAAGGAAAAATGAGCATCTTAAGAGGAGAATCTGCAGAAATGGGATCCACCACATAAACAAACTGAAGGAGAAAAACCACGTGATCATCTCCTTAGATGCCAAAAAAGCATTTGCAAAATCCAACACCCACTCATGTTTAAAGTCTTAGAGAGATCAGGGCTACAAGGCACATATCTAAACATAGTAAAGACAATATACAGCAAGCCTATAGCCAACATCAAACTAAACGGAGAGAAACATAAATCAATCCCACTGAAATCAGGGATGAGGCAAGGCTGCCCACTCTCTTCTTATCTCTTCAATATAGTACTTGAAGTCCTAGCTAGAGCAATAAGAGAACTAAAGGAGATCAAGGGGATACAAATAGGAAAGGAAGAAATATCACTATTTGCCAATTATATGATAGTATACATGAGTGACCCCCAAAATTCAACTGCAGAATTCCTTCAGCTGATAAACACCTTCAGCAAAATGGATGGATACAAAATTAACTCAAAAAATAAGTGGCCCTCCTGTATACAAAAGACAAAAGGGCTGAGAAAGACACACATGGCATATACTCACTTATAAGTAGATATTAGACATATAGTACAGGATAATCATACTAAAATCTGTACACCTAAAGAAGATAAACAAGAAGAGGTTCTGGGATAAGATGATCAGTCCTTACTCAGAAAGGCAAACAGGGTGGACATAGAAGAGGGAGAACACAGGGAACAGGACAAGAGCCTACCACAGAGGGCCTTGAAAGACTCTGCCCAGCAGATGCTGATGCTCATAGCAAAACTTTGGGCAGAGTTCAGGGAATCTTCTGAAAGAAGGGGGAGATAGAAAGACCTGGAGGGGACAGGAGCTCCACAAGGAGAGCAACAGAACCAAAAAATCTGGGCACAAGGGTCTTTTCTGAGACTGATACTCCAACCAAGGACCATGCATGGAGATGACCTAGAACCTTTGCACAGATGTAGCCCGTGGCAGCTCAGTGTCCAAGTGGGCTTCCTAGAAAGAGGAACAGGGACTGTGTCTGACATGGCTGTCATGACATATGTCAGTGGCTGGCTCTTTGATCACCTCCCCCTGAGGGGGAAGCTGCCTTGTCAGGCCACAGAGGAAGACAAAGCAGCCAGTCCTGATGAGACCTGATAAACTAGGGTCAGATGGAAGGGGAGGAAGACCCCCCCCCATCAGTGGACTTGGAGAGGGGCATGAGAAGAGATGAGGAAGAGAGGGTGGGATTGGGAAGGGATGAGGGAGGGGGCTATAGCTAGGATACAAAGTGAATAAACTGTAATATGTAAAAAAAATATTTTAAAACATAGAAAAAAAAAAGATGAGCATCTGCAGCACAATGCTTGTCTCTGGGCAAACAGTCTGGAAGTATCCGGGAAGGGCTCTGAAGTCGCCCAGAGGCTGGCTTTGGAGCTAGAGCACCTGGGCCCCATTCGACACCCCATTCTGCCACCTGCAACTTGAGAAGCGGGAACAGGTTTCTTCATTTCTCTGTGCGCTCGTTTTGCTCATTTAAAAGGTGGTAACATCTACTCTGTGGAGACACTGCAGGGAATAGAGACACTATATGAAACCAGACCCTGCTTTGTTAGCTCTAATAAACACTGCCTTCCCACCTGTCCCTGACTATGCTGTAGACGCTGGTGTACCTCCTAATGAAGTATGAGGGGCACAATGTCTTCAAAGCATAAACCACCTCACAGTGTCCCTGAAGAACAAGGATGCCAAGATTATGTTCTGGGTGGATCAAAGGCCCCTCTTACACCCTGAAGAATTTGCTCACTTGCTTACTGTCTGTTCTAGGAAACAAATTAAATTGCCAGGATGTCAGCTTCAGGAAGGGCAGAGATTAGCGGCCACCCCGCATCTGCCACAGTTCCCACTGCAGCTTTGTGACCAGCACTGCCTGGCTTCTGTGACCAGAAGCAAGAGCTGAGCTTGACAAGCTCCCTGTGAAAACATAAAGGGTCCACACACCCCTCCGTGCAGCTTGTCCACTTCAAAGCAGAGAAAAGAAGTTGAACCCAATCATGTAATCCCACTGGCATTCCCCTCCTCCTCGGTTTCCCTAATGCTTTTCATTTTTCTTTTACTCCTTTTAATCCGCTTCTCCCTCAAAGGGTTTCTCTCTTAAGCTTTGCATTTAAATGAGGGCCTTTCACTGGAGAGAAAATTTAGTCCAGACGTTGCTTTTCAGTGAAACCCGAGTGGGTTAGCTTCCTGCAGAGGTGGGTCCACCTGAGACTGCTCAAGGAAGATGTGTGGTCCCTGCCGTGGAGCACATGCTTTGTAACTGCAGGAACGACATCTCCACTCAAAAGCAGGTCTCATCCTCCGTGCTCCCTTTGTCCTCTTTCTGGTTCATGCGTGCTCAGAACTGGCTATCCAAGCACTTGATAACTAGCAAAAGTGAGAAGGGGGCAAGCCACCAAATAGTTTGCTACTAACAACTTCTGGACAGGTCCATCTTCTAGAGCAGCAGAAAGTTTGGCATGAGGCCAGGCCAGGAACACTGTGGCTGCCATGGCAGGGTGCATGGCGGCTGGCCCTGCCTGGGCATTAGAGAGTCTGGAATGGTAGAGTGTGAGTGTGTGTGTGTGTGTGTGTGTGTGTGTGCATGCACGTGTGTTCATGCATGTGTGTGTGTGTGCAGGTGTTCTTGCATCTGGATGTTTTACTGGGGTAGCCCAAGACTTCTGTGTTTGGGCAGCTGGGTTACGATTCCCAGAGCAGTAGCACAAAGCCACACATCCTTCTCTGGGTTCTTCCTCCTTGTGACTGTCATTTTCAAGTAAACTAAACCAAGACTATCCCTTGGCACTTCTGTGTCTTGAGAAATGCAGGGTAACTCTCAGCAGGCAAAGGAAACAGACAGGGTCCCAGGTGCTGAGGAGTGAGGCTGGGCCCAGGCTTCCCAGGTGGTTGCTCTTGGAGGCCTCATTGCTAAGCTCCCTCTGCACCGTGTTTCACACTGGAAAAACTAGACATGGCTTTCCTTTCCATAAAACAAGCCACAGAGGCTTTTCTTGAGGTTAGACTTAGATTGCGCTGCCATACATCATCCTTGATGGTTTGCTATGACGGCTATTTTCAGTAGCCGCATTTATATTGTGTTCTCTGGTTCCAACATTCTTGGTGGAATTCCATTTCCACAGGAAGGTGGGCTAAGGGCACCAGATAATTTACTCTCAAAATATAACATCCCAAAGTCACATAAGCCAAAAATGGTACAGAGATTCTTAGTGGAGAAGCAGTATGTCAAGGTTTCTATTTTAAGCCGTAGAGCCACAGTAAATGAGAAAACGAGACATATGACAGGGCGCCATTTCTGGAGAATCACTGGACAGGTGGAAAGCGTGCCACAGGCTCTGTTCTCTACATTTCCTCCTCCACTCCACCCCAGACAGGAGGCTCTCCCCACTGGCGACTTCTTACAGCCGATGGGGAGACCTGAGCAATGGCCAACATCAACAGTGGTAAGAACAAGCAACAGTACACGCCAGACCTGTGTTCTGGGTGAAATGTGATGGCCTGTTTACCCTTCAGAGTAATTCCATGAGACCAGAAAAGTAGAATAATTTTTAAACCTGATTTCTCAGTGATGCATTTCAATCATAAGAAAAACATGCCACTACAACATTTTATTTACTTGTTTTGTGCTTCTTTATTTGTGAGACAGGGTGTCACTAAGTAGTCTGTTGTACTGCCCTGGCACTCAGTATGTAGCACAGGATGGCCTCATGGCAATCATCCTATCCCAGCCTCTATTATACTAGGGCTACAGACGTGTGCCACCAAACCTGGCTATCGACACTTGAATTTTAGCCAAATTCTCCATGGAGTTTGCACATTCCTTAGAAAGCAGCAACAATAACAAAGTCCAAGCCCCCACGAAAGCACTGGAATAAGAACCTCGGATCCAGGCTTCTGTCCTTTGTGCTCATGGCTCACATCAAGACTACTGGCTCCTGCTTTCTTCCTCTATTAAAAAAATAAAAATAAAACTATCTAAATAGCCTCAGAGCCCCTAAAAGATTGTAATTTCTAGATGTTTTTTTTTATCAGTGATGACATCACAAATAACTGGAAAAATAATAATAACTGGAATAATAATAAATAACTGGGGAAAAAAAACACAAAGAAACCAAGTTTCAAGAGAAAAGATGCCATGGCACCCATGAAGGAAACATTAGCAGATACTCCGCTTTGAAGAGGTAACTGAAAGCTCAGTGTACACAGTGACTTAGCACTGGCACGGGAGACTGTTGTTGTACAGTGACTTAGCACTGGCATGGGGGACTGCTGTCAAATGAAGCATTTTATCCACCTTTAGATCAAGATTACCCGAAGTGAGTTCCTTAACTTATGCTCTCTCACATCCCAGCCTTCCATCTGCAAAGCAGGTACCTTTGACTGCAGACTGACAACTCTCTGCCCATCCAGGGTGCCCTTTCCATTCTCAGCTCAACTCCAAGCTGAAAGCTGAGCATGCTGAGAGATACTTTCTGGAATTTTGACTTTGAAGACATGTTCTCCAGGACCTTGAACTTAGCATGTTCTAAAATGTCTCTACATTCTTGCTTCTTAGACTGAGCATGCTCAGGAATGCACCCACCTCTGTGGTTTGTCATCTCAGAGGCTTACTGCTGAACTCACCCTTTCTTGTTCTTTCTGAACTTTGGGCTGGCTGGTTCAGCTCAACTGTTCTGGCTCAAACTCCTCTCCCAGCTGACCGATTCTATCTGGGTTTTCTCTCAGCCTCTGAATTGCTCTGCTTGGCCTCAAACTAACTCCAGCCATTTTTTCTAATCTTCTGGCTCCTTCTCATTCTCTGGCTCATTCAGTCTTCATCTGAGTTCTCTCTCTGCAACCTGTCTCTCTATTAAAGTCCTGGTAAAAACCTCCTTTCTCTTTCTGCATTGTTTCTTAAGTAGCTTTCCTTCCCTCTCTCATCTCATGAGTTGGGCGTATCCCATTCTGTCAAGTCTTTCTCTGATTCGTCACTGTTTCTGCCACTCAAATAGATATCACTTTCAAACATGGGTGCTTCCTTCTATAAACTAACTTTACCTTCATTGTGTGGGATTAACGGCGTGCACCACCACACCTGGACCTAAGCTTTTCTTTACCTGAAACTTGCTCTACACCAGGCTGGCCTTGAACTCATTTCTGCTTGCCTCTGATTAAAGGCATGTCTGTTTGTATTCCAGCCAGAGCACACAGACTAGGTCTTTGGGTGTGATCTCCTGCCAGAACAGCCATGTTCTGAATTAAAATTCTTCCACAACTATTTTTGTACATATGAGTTCAAGTTCTGAAAGACCTTTCAATGAGCATCCATCAAAGGTCAGTGCGTGAAGGGGTGCTGAGGTTGAAGCTTTATGCTTTCCTACGTAAGGGGTGACTTAGAACATCCAAGTGGGAAACCACAGGAGAGGAGGCTGGGTTGACAAAGTCACTGAGCCACGAAATGTCGGGCCAGCCAGCCTCACAGAGGTGAACAGGAAGCAGCAGAGGACACTGGAGTGCACAGTGGAAACTATAGCTGATATCTGGGAGGAGAGAAGATGAAGAGGGTAAAGTCAGCCATGAGTGTAATCCCAGCACTCAGGTGGCGCATGCCTGTGATCCCAGCACAGAGGAACGCGTATCTCTCCAAATCAAGTCCAGGACAGCCAAGACTACACACAGAAGCCCAGTCTTGAAAAAGAAAGAGAGAGAGAGAGGGAAGAGGGAAAGAAAGAAAATTAAAGTGCTTACAATGGTATAGGCACTTTGTCTCTAAACTTAGGGGCCTGAGTTCAATTCCCAGGCCCCCACAACAGGAGAGCCTGAACTCCCGGGAGTACCGTGCACACGCACGCCCACTACAGAAAGAAAAGGAATAGAACGAAGAGTATGAAACATGTATTCGAGTGAGTTCTCTTGATCTACAGCCTGCGCTGTCTCTGGAGGGAGGCAGCACTTTCCTCTCGTCTCTCGGCCAAGCACAGACGCTGCTAGGCTCAGCAGCGCTGGCAGGAAGGCCCCAGGGCCCTCTCAGCTCCGCTCTTCCGGCCTCCTCCCAGCAGGGGGCGCCAGGAAGTCCCGCCCCGGAAAAGGACCCGGATGGGCGTGGCCTCTCCAGCCGCGCGCGCACGCCCCCGGCCTCACTCGGTCGTGCTGCGGGAAGGGGACGGGCCTGCTGCCGCCTGCTTCGCCATGGCTCGCGGTCCCAAGAAGCACCTGAAGCGTGTGGCCGCTCCGCGCCACTGGATGCTGGACAAGCTGACCGGCGTGTTCGCGCCCCGCCCGTCCGCCGGGCCGCACCGCCTGCGCGAGTGCCTGCCGCTCGCCATCTTCCTGCGGAACAGACTCAAGTACGCCCTGACGGGCGACGAGGTGAAGAAGATCTGCATGCAGCGCCTCATCAAGGTGGACGGCAAGGTCAGAACCGACGTGGCCTACCCGGCGGGCTTCATGGATGTCATCAGCATCGACAAGAGCGGCGAGAACTTCCGCCTGGTCTACGACACCAAGGGCCGCTTCGCGGTGCACCGCATCACGCCGGAGGAGGCCAAGTACAAGCTGTGCAAGGTGCGCCAGGTGTTCGTGGGCACCAAGGGCATCCCGCACCTCGTGACGCACGACGCCCGGACCATCCGCTACCCGGACCCGCTCATCAAGGTCAACGACACCGTACAGATCTCGCTGGCCACCGGCAAGATCACCGACACCATCAAGTTCGACACCGGCAACCTGTGCATGGTGACGGGAGGCGCCAACCTGGGGCGCGTCGGCGTCATCACCAACCGCGAGCGCCACCCCGGCTCCTTCGATGTGGTGCACGTGAAAGATGCCAATGGCAACGGTTTCGCCACGCGCCTCGCCAACATCTTCGTGATCGGCAAAGGCAACAAGCCGTGGATCTCCCTGCCCCGGGGGAAAGGCATCCGGCTCACCATCGCCGAGGAGAGAGACAAGAGGCTGGCGGCCAAGCAGAGCGCGTGAAGGGACCCTGAGGGACGCTGGGGGCCTTTGTTTGTTTACACTTCAAGTAGAGCAGTATGTTGAATTAAAAGGAAGCACGCTTCATTGTGGTGCCCTGTGTTTCTTCCCGTGCCACACTGGCGCATCGTGGGGAACTCCCCAGATGTGTTACCTCGTTTTGAGAAAGAGATGGGAACATGCAGGGCTCAGCTACCCATGCTGGGGACAGCCCTGGCACTTCAATGTGCCAGGGTTAGGGTCAGGGTCCGGTGCTTAGGTAGCAGTGAAATCAGGAAAACGTCAGACTTGTAAAGTCAGCCTCCTTACCAGCAAGCATCCACAAACAGTAGAGAACCCCAGAAGTTACCCAGAATAAAAAGTCGATCATTAGAGAAAATGCTGAAATGCCATCCCTAACCTGTAGTCAGTCCATTGTGTATGACGTCAGCACTAAGCTTTCTGTTGCCAGGGTTTTCTTTAAAACACAAGTATAACTGTAATCTTCTCTTTCAGAAAAACCGTAAGTTTACAGAAGCAGCAAACCCAACACAAGGAAAATAAAACTGAAGCAAGGCTTACCAAGAAACTAAGTGCATTATCAGAGCATACAGTTATCATCAGAACAGCAGCTTATAGGAAAAATGAAATTTCATTTCTTAGCATTTTAATGTCAATGAGCCAGAAAAGTTAAATAATAGCTTTCCTATTTTGCCCTTTTGCTAGCTAAAAGATTTCCAGAGCAGTTTTATGGTATTGACTAGAGAAAGAATACTTGAATTTTAGATGTTTGTGAACTCCCAGTTAAAGGAAACTAAAGATTTTTGGTTTGTTTTCTTCCACTTCAGAGCATACTTAGTGAATACACATCCAAAGATGGGAGTTAGCGCAGGTGCCCAGGGAGGGCGGAGGCTGGCAGATCCTCTGAAGCGGGGGTAATAAGCAGTTGTAAGCTACCTGACCTGTGAGTAGAAACTTGGGTCCTCTGCAGAGAGCAGTGTCTGCTAACCACTGAGCCACCTCTAGTCCCAAAGATAAGGATTTTATTTGCAAAGAGATGATTTTTGATTCTACATTAGAGCTGAGTCCCTTTAAATGAACTGGCATCTGATTAATTTGCTAATGTTATACCCAAACTTAGGTCACTGGTCAGTGTTTCTTTTTATTGCTGAAGACACTAATCAGCTTTGTGGGAAGATGGGATGGTTGTGGGTGCAGCTTGCTATAGCTTGCCTAGCACACGGAATGAGTGGGTTCTGTTTTCTTTTTCAAGACAAGGTTTCTTTGTGTAGCCTTGGCTGTCTTGGAATTCAGAGATCCACCTGCCTCTGCCTCCCCAAGTCCTGGGATTACAGGCGTGTACCACTGCAGCTGGCAAGGGTTGTTTTTTAATTATATTTGAGTGTTTGCCTGCATGTATGTGCAACACCTTCTGCCTGGTTCCCTTAAAGACCAGAAGAGGCTGCCTTGGGACTGGAGCCAGATGGTTGGTAGAAAACGAACAGGTCCTGTGTAAGATCCATAGGTCCAGTTCAGAGGAAGGCTTGGGTCAAGCCTCACCGTGGAGATCGGTTCTCTGTCCCCAGTGTCTGCGCTGGCAGAGCCATCTTGCCAGCCCCATTCGAGATTTCAGTTGCTAACACCGTGAAATAATCTCTAGAGGCAGACCTGGATTTAAATCCTGGCTACTTCCACCTGGGTACAGCTGCAGCTTGGAGCAAGCGCAGGAACACGATCCAAACAAGGGGGGCAGAAATGCGCACGCACACACAGTGGTTAGCAGTGTATTCCAAAGGTCAGGGCAATCATCCTCGTGAATACACAGACCTTTTCCCCAAGTCATCAGTAACATAGAAAAGCCTAGTTCAGAGATGTTATTCTGTGTTCAGTAAAACTTACAGCTATTTGTTTTTGAGACAAGGTACCCTGTCCCTGGAGAGTTAACTTGGCTGTGCGGCCAAGAGCGTCTGATTCTTCTGTGGGCTGAGATTATAGGCTTCTGTCCAGCAGCCAGGCTAACCCAGCCAGTCTTTCCAGTCCCCTGGCTCTGGGGATCACGTCTCAGCCTCCCAGGGCCGGATTGCAGGTCTGTGCGGTACTAAGGACTGACTCTAGGGCTTCCTAAACGCTAGGCCGGCACGTCACCAACACAGCTGCACCACTGGCTCGTACCGGACTTCAAACGGTTAGGGCCTGGAGACAGACCTCGGTTTCTTAGAGCGCTTGCCCAGCACGCACAAGACGCCTGGCTCAATCCCAGCCCGGGGAAAATGGACGTGCGGAACAAGGGTCCTTGCGGGCGTGCTTAGGAAAGCCCCTCTTCCCGGAGCCTCGGGGAACAGCCGGTTGGCAGAGGACTGGAGGTGCTCGGCCATCCCAGCATCTGCCCCGGAACTTGGACCTTCCGCCTTCATTTAAATTAGAGAAAATAAGCCAAGACCTTTCTTGTCTAACAGCACCTAAGCCAAGGTCCCAAGGGCATTTTTACTCAAATAGCACGCGCCCACGTGCAGCTCTGGGCTCTCAGAGACAGTGCCTTGCTGCGTAGACCAGACTAGCCAGAGAGCCGCCTGCCTCAGCCTCCCGAGTTCCAGGGTAACGGCGTCGACCACCGGCCTGCGTCGACAGCGAACGCGAACCAGGATGCTGAGTCGGAGTTCCTTCCTTTCGTGTATGGCACGCGCGTGGGCGCAGGCAGGCTGTTGGCAGCCAGGTTTTGTTTTGTTGCCTGCGCGTCCTTGTGCGCATGCGTGTTAACTGCGGGCGGTGTCTGGAGGCATCTTCACTGAGGCAGGGCCTCGCAATCAAACCCGAGCGCGGATTCGGCGCGTTTCCAGGCCTCCTGCCTCATCAGGTCCAGCCTCCCAAGGCTGGGATTGCAGGCAGCCGCCCGGCACACCCAGGGTCCAGTCGGGTCTTCGGGACCCGAACTCCGGCCTAACACGTCCACAGACCACTACGTCCTGGGCCAGGCGCGAGGATTGCCGGGTGACTGCTGGGCCGCCTCCTGCGTGCGCCCTCCTCCCGGCGTCCCACGCTCTTGAAGCCACCCACTGCGGTGAGCCCCGCGTGAATGCTCACGGCCCAGCTCCGTTCTTGAACATTAATTACGGGTGGAAGTGCACAGTTGGCCCAGCCTTATCTGAGCACGTCCGCACCCAGCACCTTACCGCACACCGCCCTGCTGACCCTGCTCCAGTTTAGGAGGTGCAGGAAACCTCCGTAACGTCGAGGCCGCGCCCTTTCAGCGTAAGAATCTTTCTGACAAAAGGCTATTAGAGCGCTTTTGTAATAGCTAGTGAGAATGGGAAGGAGGGGGTACTGCCTCTGAGGACCAAGTCTGCAGGCGCATTCTGTGCTTTAAACATACGGCTTTTCTTAGGAGATGGGAGAAAAACACGTAATTGGAATCTCAAAATAGCGTAAACCAAGCACCAGGCAATGTAGGAGATGGGAATCTCTATTTATTTATAAGCCCAATTACTAAGGCATATTGCTTTAGCATCTTGTATATGAAGTGTGACGATAAAGAAATGAGATCTGGCTTTTTGTTGTTTGGTTCATAAACTGGCACTGATGGAATTTTCAAAATAAGAGTTTCTAAACAATATTAAAGAATTCAGAATGAGTGGAACAAGTTTATAGCTATGACCTTTTCCAAAGATAAAACTGGGCTGCTGCTGTGTAGCTGACTTCCGTGCTGAGACCAGTCCTAACACGTGAGCCGCACAGCTCACACAGTGTTAACCTGACAGGAAACTCAAATGGTGGAGAACACATACCCCCATCTTTTTAGTTTTATACGTCCTGGGAGCCATAGTTGAGTGGCAGAGCTCTTGCTTGCGTGCTCAGTCTCTGGATTACAATACGAAAGCCCTTCACATATAAATGTTATCTGGCTGCGCTGGGCGTGGGAGACGCTATCCTTCGAGAGTGGGATCAGTAACTAGGGAGTGGGCTCACTGGTGATTTATTCCACTGAGATCTGCCATAACTGCCCCCAGTTCCCTTTCCAGGGGACCTGGAGCCCTCCTCTAGCTCTGAGGGAAGTCTCACATATGGGTCACACATACATGTGAATAAAAATTTAAAAAACTAGACCACCTGGTCTAAGATGAATGGGCAAAGCTATCTCCCCTCCCTCCCTCCTCTCTCCTCCTCTTCCTGAAGCTTTCCTTGCTTTCATCCTTTCTGAGGTACGAATGTTAGGATATAGAATGTCACGAATGCTAGGCAACCGTTCTACTAATGAACTATATATCCCCAGCCCTACTTTTACTTTAAAAAAAAAAATCTTATTTGTCAGTTGCCTGTGTGTGTGTGTGTGTGTGTGTAAGTAAACATATTCAGGCCCCCAAACCCTTCTCTTCCCAGCTCTCTTTTGTACTTTGTGTTTTGAGGCAGGTTTTTATTAGGGTGTGCAGGATGGCCTTGAACTCACTCTGTAGCTCAGGTTGGCCTCAGTGTTTGATCCTCCTGCCTCAGCTTCCCGAGATCCTGGGATTACAGGGTTGTGCTGCCAGACAAGTTTGAGAAGTCTATCGCTATTCCCCCCAGACAGAGAGAGAAGGCAGCAACAGGCCAAGGGAACAGTTCCAACTGGGTGTAGCTGGGTGAGCCGGTGAGTTTATGGGGACTCACAGGAGGATTCTAGATGCAGTCACGGAAGGCGCCCGGGCAGCAGCCCATCAAAGCGTCTCCTGTACAGCAACCGTCGGCTGCTCACACATCCCAGGAAGATGCCCAGGCACCTGCCCTCCTGCCCTTTTGGGAGACAGTGTTAATGAGCCCGATATAGCCAGGTTCGTGTGAGTAAGCAGGGGTCTGCAACAGCTCTGGCTAGCCTCAGTGCAAAGCACTGCCCATCCCAAGCGCTCTGAGATGAGCCAGTGAGCTGGCATGCGACACCACTACTCTGGACACAGCTTCCAAGCTAACCATTCTCACTGCCTCGACAGTGTCGCCACGAGAATGTGAGCTGGCTCTCAAAGCACTGGCATGTGCTCTTTTGAATAAGGTGTCTTCCTCCTTGCCTGCCCACACCACACACTTCCTTTATTCAAGTTTTTTCTCTCAATAGCTTCATTATTTCACTTTTCTCAATTCTG